CATATGCTTTGGTTTTGGTCATGGCTAAAGCAATTGGAATGCAGATGTTGCTGGCATTGATGCAACTTGTACAGTGTTTAAATATGGACAAGAGTACCACTTTACTCAGATTATAATAAAATATATATTTTGCAAATAAAAAACTTACTCTCTCATCTGCTAAATATTTTTAAAGAAGTAATGGCTTGTTTACATCTAATTAAGTGTGATTAATGACAATCTTGAGGCTGAGCGAGTTCAGATCTAGCCACGCATGATCAGAGTTCTCATGACTCATTCTGACATTTGGAATTGCCTTCCTGGGAATGATGTGTGATTAATTAATTTTAACTCTTTTTTTAATTTTATTTGTGAATTTCAGCCCTTGTATTAATTATACTGCAAAAGAACCATAATACTGTAGTATGAAATTATGCAACAGAAGTAATGGCTTGTTTAATTACATCAAATTGGCAAATTCTTGTTGCTTGTAAATTAATTGATTTTAAAGGATCCAAAACCTCCAACCCGAAAGGCAAAGGAGTCTTCAATAGCAAGTTCACTCCTTTTTTTCTTTTTTTCTTTTTTTCTTTGGGAAACACGCTAATGTCTTCTACAAAAAATTCTGTGTCACGTCTGATCGGGGAACCTATGAGAACTTGAGTGTAACGTGCACAAATCAATCTGAGATACCCCCTGATTGATATAAAGAGATTTGATATGGTGCAATACATGTGACTCAACAGCACAAAACTACGTCAAATTTGGCTAAAACAACAGCAATTTTGCATAAGGTAAACAATCAGCATAATTTTGTGAAGGCTTGGTACTTCGGTTATGTCATTAGTATAAAGACTTCTGTACTCTCGTGTCAAGAGTTTAAATCTGTATTCTTCCTTCCTAAACAGTTGAACCACTTACTCAAGAACGTAAAAAAAACTGCCCACGAAATTCTAAGGTTAATGTTGTTATTTTTTGACCTTTGACATAAATATAGGACTGAGACTTTCCAGCTAAATCCATTATAAAAAGGCACTGTTTGAAAGCGAAACAATACCAAACTCCTATTGGGAAATTTTGCACTACAGGCTTAACTAAGGACATTTTCTCAATATTTGATTCAATTTCTCTTTTAGAAATTCCTGAATAATTCAGTTAACCAACTAACTTTTTACCTTCAAAACCCTAATCTGGTATTTCTGAGTCTGAAATTCCATCATTTTCAATCATTCCTTTTAGGAAACTATGCTGCAACCTCAGTTTCCACTCTACTTCTCCCTGTCCCATTACAATTGATGTCTAAACAACCCATGAATATGATACAAATAAGAAGTCACATGCCAAATTTATTAACATTAGGAATATGTTCAACCCTGTAAAAAGAGCATATATATCATGACACTGACAATAAAAAACTTAGTGATAATTTTCCTTTTAAGTGTGCATTTTTTTATGAAAATCGTTCAAGCAACTACTACCAGAATCCAAGCAGATCGACCAGATTAGATTTTTTTTTCTTGGTAGTTTTGTGTCAATTTCAACTTTATCCTCAATAACAATTTTTCATTTTGTCTTTTCTGAAAAAATTCAGATTAGTGTGGGGAATGATTGAACACCATTATGTTTTGTCCATGTAGGGCCTCTTCAATTCCATCCATTTTTGGTCATATTGGAGTATTTTTCATCTAATGGTCAAAAACTGATACAAAGGAATAAAAAAAAAAGAATATTGTATTTTATAATTTAAATTATAAAAATATTAGTTATCAAACGAAAATGTCTTTCCAAATATTAAGAGTTCCTCCTAATTTAATGATTAAAATTTTACAATTCAATACAGTTTTAAAATATCTCATAATTTTGTTTAAAATATTTTTTTAAATGTAATTAATACACCTATTTCTCATTTCTTTTCTAAAGTTTTAAACAGAGTGGCTTGTTTCTTTGACGTGTCCCCTGCATTTTCACAGAATATAGAATACTAATTTGGGCATATATTCTGGCTAGCTGGCTTAAGAGTACGCAATACAAAATTTATAAAGCTCTAATTCTCATGTTTATTTCATTTTCAAACTCACGAATCTTGTTGGCATTTTAGAAAGTTGATAAAGTTCTTAGATTCAAAGCTGTGGAATGGCTTCAAAGCAATGTATCTATCGCTTCACCTACAGGCACTACAAACGTTACTTGTTTTTGTTCATGGGGGGTGGGGGTGGCAAACTGCATATGATTTATACCGATTGTTAGTACTTTCGAGATACAAAAAGCCATGGAATCAATCATAAATAACAATATGTAGCTCATAGAAATAATGACTTATTGGATTAAACTGATAAGTTTTTATTAATATCATTAATGTTAATAGAAAAATTGAGTTATATCTCGTTATAAGATATTATTTTATTAATCTTATTAATCAAACGATTTAAGTCTTTCTCAAGAGTTCCCCACTATTCTAACCTTACTCCATCAGGTAGGTTGCTCTCTAAAGTTTAAACTCAAACAAAGCAAAAGGTACAATGATGAAACAAATAATTTAGGGGGGAGGATGAAAGCCCTATCCATTATCCAACCAAAGAGTGAAGAATTCAATAAGTCCCCAAATGGAAGCTGTGAAATTAAAAGCATGGACAAATGCCAAAGAAGTAAATAAAAATTACTACGTGGTAATTGATTATGCGATAATTAAAACCTACGTTAGCTTAGCACATTCATTTAGTAGGGGACCATTAACAACGGATATTGAAGGCCTTAATTGACGCATGATTAGGTAGCCTTAGACTTTAGGCCCAATTCTCAGTATATTATTGAAATGTGATAAGTCAACATTAAAACAATCCCAACTTTTCTTCTCACCCCATTTACCGACTGTAAAATATTGATGTCATTTGTTGATTAATATTTGTTAATAATAACAAATACGATACTATATAAGTACATATATTTTCATAAAAAAAGTAAATACATGTTACCTAACAACGTTTTATCAAGAGAAAAAAATTAATTCAAAATATTGATATTGTTAAGTCTTTGATATTATCAACATAGGGAGTCAATAAATCATTTTTCATAACCAATTTTCTTTGCTTGATCAAAATCATAAATAGATTCTAATTTGTGAGTAGATAAAAGAATTTTTTTAGTTCAAATCTCCCAATCATAGAATGATAATCAACACTCTTGCTACTAAT